TTTATTTACGGTTTAGGGTTTAGGGTTTAGTAAACAAATTAATGATAGATATGGAAATACGAGTATGCTTGTTGTTTCAATTTGCTTCTTTGTTTATTATGTATTTGTTTCGTGTTGGGGTTAGGGAAGTTGTTTGCAACATAGGGTCCCAGGGCTCGGGTCTTTAGGGTTTGGGGTTTAGAGTTTAGGGTTTCAGGCTTCGGGATTTGGGGTCTTTAGGGTTTAGGGCCTTGAAACACAAAACAAGAAGAGAGAGGTGAACCCAAACCTTCATGCGAAGCTACGCCCACTATGACCCTGGCCCGTCCCCCCAAATAGCACCCTAAACCCGACACCCTGAACCCTAAACCCTAAACCCTAAACTCTAGACCCTAAACCCTGAACCCTAAACCCTAAACCCTAAACCCCAAACCCCTAAACCCCTCCATCCCCCCTTGGCTGCGTAGCCCGGGAGGCCGGTTGGCCCTCTGCCGATGCGCTGGTGGCCCCGACGTGGCCGACGTTGGAGGTTCAGGGTTTAGGGTTTAGGGGTTTAGGGTTTAGGCTTTAGGCTTTAGGGTTTAGGGTTTAGGGCATGCCCCATGTTGCTGGAGTTTAGGAAGGTTTTAGTGCTGGAGTTTGAGGAGTTTAGGGAGGGTTTTAAGGTTTTTTTTTTTTATGAGTTTGAGGAGTTTAGGAAGGCTTTAGGTTTTTTTTAGGGTTTTTTCGGGTTTTTTTTTTTAATGAGTTTGAGGAGTTTAGGAAGGCTTTAGGGTATTTTTAGGTTTTTTTTTTTTATGAGTTTGAGGAGTTTAGGAAGGTTTTAGTGCTGGAGTCTGAGGAGTTTAGGGAGGTTTTAAAGGTTTTTTTTTAAAACGAGTTTGAGGAGTCTAGGGAGGTTTTTAGGGTTTTTTTAATGAGTTTGAGGAGTTTAGGGAGGTTTTTACGGTTTTTTTATGAGTTTGAGGAGTTTAGGGAGTTTTTTAGGGGTTTAGTTTTTAATGAGTTTGAGGAGTTTAGGGAGGTTTTTAAGGGTTTGTTTTTTATGAGTTTGAGGAGCTTAGGGAGTTTTTTCGGGGGGTTTGGTGAGTTTCGGGTGGCTTAGGGAGTTTTTAGGGGGTTTGACGGGGGGTTTGGCGAGTTTAGGGAGTTTTTAGGGGTTTGGTGAGTTTAGGGTGGCTTAGGGAGTTTTTAGGGGGTGAGTTTTTTCTCTTTTTTGGGGAGGGAGAGGGGGTTGGTTAGTTTAGGGAGGTTTTTGGGGGGTTTGGTGAGTTTAGGGGGGCTTAGGGAGGTGTTTAGGGGGTTTAGGGAGGTTTTTGGGGGTTAGGGGGGGGGTTTGGTGAGTTTAGGGCGGGCTTAGGGAGGTTTTTAGGGGGTTTGGTGAGTTTAGGGCGGGCTTAGGGAATTCTTTAGGGGTGAGTTTAGGCGGGCTTAGGCAGTTTTTGGGGGGTTTGGTGAGTTTAGGGTGGGTTTAGGGAGTTGTTAGGGGGTTTGGTGCGTTTAGGGGGGTTTCGGGAGGTTTTGGTGAGTTTAGGGGTTTCGGGAGTTTTTAGGTGGGGTTTGGTGAGTTTAGGGGGCTTATTAGGGTTTGGTGAGTTTAGGGAGTTTGGGGGGTTCGGGGGTTTCGGGGGTTTAGGAAGTTGAGGAGTTTAGGGGAGATTGGGGAGTTTGGGAGTCTTGGGCCTCCGAAGCCCTCCCTAAAGCCCAAATCCCAAACCCGAGGATTCAGGGCTTCGTGGGGCTTCGAGGGTGTACGCTCCATCTAGAGGCCGTGAGGTTAAGCAGCATGCCGCAGCCGACCGTTGGCCCTAAGCCCCTAAGCGCCCAAACCCTAAACCCTAAACCCTAAACCCTAAACCCTAAACCCTAGGCGTTTTTGCTCCAGGTTCAGGTAGTTTCCCTTGTGGTCCCTGTTCCTGACTTAAACCCTACGCGCGGCCCCCCGGCCCGCGTCTGCTAGGGGAGTGGTCCGCCCGCGCGCCTCCCCTAGTAAACCCTTCTTTCCCCACTGCCATTTCGCCTCTGCTGGTAGCTGTCTTTCACTAGGCCTACCACCGGACGGCCTTCCCGCTCCGCCTAGGCGTTGAGCGCACTGCGCCTTTGTTCTGGGAGTGGCGCCCCTTCTGCCCTGGCTTGCAGAAGTACTGATCTGGTCCGCCCTGGTACTTCCCGCGTGGCCTTGGCCAGCACTCCTCTGTGGAGTTGTGCCCACTGCGCCTTTTGCTGGGAGTGGCGCCCCCGGCCCTTTTCACCTGGCCCTTTCTGTTTCCAGTGCCTTTTGGTCAGGGATTGGCACCCCTGCTGGCCTCCCCTGATTTTCTGGCGGTGCATGGGTGGCTTGCTCGCACAGTGCTGGCTTTTGGCTGCTACTGCCTTCCTGCACCATACGGCCCTTTATTCGAAGGTCGACGGAATCAGCCAAGCACAGAAAGCTGCGAAGGCTCCGAACCCGCGCTCGAACAGTTCTGCGCAACTACTTGGAGAATATTCCGAGTACGACATCAACGGTGATCTCGGCGATTGGTATTTTGGCGCGACATCACTCGCGAAGCACATTGCCAGGCCGAGCTGCCGCAAAGATGCAAGCAAACCGAGCGAAGACACAAAGGGAGATGAACAACTGGAAGTGCGCCCACTGCAACAGGCTGAACTCCAACAAGGTGAGTTTCTGTCCGGGATGTGGCAAACCATGGCAATCGTCCTCGAGTGCGACATGGTACGCCTGCCAAGAGGAGACGACAGCCCCATGGCATTCGGAAGCATGGAGGGCTCACTCCCCACGCAGGAGATCGCCACGGGGGAGACAGAAGCCGGACCATCGGAATGCCCAACCCAAAGGTCAGCCGAAGCCACAGAATCGGCAGAAGGATCAGCAACTGGAAGGACCGCCAGCGGTCCCCAACGTCGGTGCGTTACCGGCTGTGCCCTCTGCAGTGGTTCCGGCGCCTCCGAAACAGTCGGTTGCCATAGCGCTGCCTACTGGCCCCTCTCCGGAGAAGCAGCAGCTCGATGCCCTGATGGCTTCACTGGCCGGCATGACAGACTCTCTGCCAACGGAAACAAAGGCCTTGCTCGCCCAGATGAAGACGGAGGAAGCCCACACCGAGGCCAAGACCTTGCACAAAGCTGTTGCTGCCCAAGCCCAAGCCAAAAAGGAGCTGGCGAAGACGCAGCATTCGCGAACTCTATATTTGGAGGCATGGAATGCATATGTGGTGTCGGTCACGGAGCTACTCCAGCAGCAGGTGGAGGAACAGTCCAGAATCCTCACCGAGTACGACGACACCGAGCGCCAGTGGATGCTATCGCTGAGACAGGCGGGAGCAGACCTCCGACGGCTTTCAGCCACAGGAGATACAGACGCGGAGGAGATGACGGTGGATCAGCTTGGAGCGGAACCACTCGTCTCCCCTGCGGAAGAAGAAGAAGAGAGGAAGAAAGCAAGGGAAGCCCACCTGGTAGGGGTACAGCAGGTCCAGGCGCCACTTCTCAACATCCGCAAGCGGACGGCCGAACAGCTGGAAGCCTCCAAGCGGGAGAGTTCCCGCACGCCAAGGAGGCAAAGAGCGGCCCCAACAGTGGACCTCGTCGCTCAAGAAGAAGACGAGGCCACGGAACAGCATGGTGGAAATGCATCAGCCACATCTGGTACTACTGGTGGGCAGGCGGCAACGCTGCCCCCTGGCAAGGCTCCGGTTTGAGCCGGGCGGGATTTCCGGAGCCTATCCCAGACCGCTGTAAAGCGATGGCTGCCCCACCTCACTCGATCTACCAGGAGCAAGATTTTGTGCCACCGTTCCTTGCGCAGCTGATTGCCATCAATCTGACATTCGAGCTCGCCTTGGACGAAATCGGACCTCCACATCGACACACCTTCTGCACTGATCCTCGCCTTCCCGTTGAAGACAGTACAGATTGTGCAAATCCTGTATATACTGTAAATAGCCAAGACCGTGAATTTGAGGTTGAACTCCCTGCCCTCAATGCAGGCCAGGATGATGGACCCTCAGCCAATCGGCGCATTGCGAGCCCTTTGACTTGCTCCAAAGCCCCCGCTCTTGTACAAAGTACACCGCAATTGAGCAGCCCCTCTGCCTGCGCAGTCTACCACGCGAGCGATCGCCTTCGCCTCGTGACTGTCACTGGAGAGCCCTGCTCCTTGTTCCTGCACTTTCACGTGCCCTTCCGTAGGCTACTGCGACGCCACTGTGTACTAGGGAATGCATTCGAGGCAAGCGCTCTCGATGGCTTGGGGGAGCCTCTGATATGCGCATGCGGGCTGCCACTCTGCGTGTGTTCCGTGGACTGCACTGCCTGCCCTGTTCCCCAGCCAAGCTCGGGTTTGCATTGGACTAGGTTTCGGGATAGCTGCCCTGCCAATGTTGCTCCGGATGCCTCTGCCAATACTGCTGGCTGTTTCGGAAAGGGGATCCTGCCCCCGTGTGTTCGGCTGTTCCTGCCCATGCGTCGGCCCTTGCACGAGATTGCACCTGCACTCCACCATGTGCATAAGGGTCTTACTTGGCCGTCGGTGCACGGCTCCCCTTCACCCGCCGACCCTAACACCCCTACAGACCCTAATTGGCAATGCCCGGCTCAGTCAGAACCAGGACAGAGCAGCTTGGAGACGCTACCAAATCCTGCCTCACATGCAGCAGCCCCTATGGGATACCCTGCGCCCCCCGACACTGCACAGGCAACTCAGGTCACGAGCATGTCGGGTGACGACGAGCGCATCCCTCCACTGAGAGAAGCCTTGCGAGCCGATGTGGGCCCCTGTGTGATTCTCCTTGCCCAACAGGAGCCCCCAGCTGCATCTAGTGGGTTCTGGCTCCCGCCCTCCCTCAGCCATGAAGACGTTGAAGGGCTGGCAAATGCAGGTGCTGCATACGGGCGGTATGCCTTCTACGACCTTGTTGATCACGCCCGTGTACGTGATTTCCATCCGGGATGGACCCTTGTCGATGCCTGGGCCGATAGGTAGGATTAGGGTTCTGCACCGCCCATTCGCTGCCCTCCCCATGCTCCAGATGGTTCTGGAGCCAGCAGGGATAGCCCCGGATTGGGTCGTCACACCGATTGATGCGAGAGCGGCCGTTGGTGTTGTCTGCACTTTCCTTACCCCGCGCCTGGCTACGGGCTTTGCACACGCCTATGCTGCAGGACAAGCCTGTCCTGCCCTGCCCGAGTCCTTCCATAGGCTCGTTGCTAGGGGACAATGGATTCTGCGACGCACGGATGGCGCATGTGCCAGACCTTTCGTTGCCCCTGTCTTGGACGACGATGCCACACTGGTTGTCGACACTCGGTGCTTCGGCGGACACTCGTCCTCCCTCAGCTCTCCCCCAGGCACCATTGGCCATAGCTCCTATAGCAGCACCTCAACCTCCTCTGTCACGGATGAACTTGGGAGGATTGTACCCTTTCACACCCTGTACAGAGAAGACGAGCACGCGACTGAAATGCATGTTGTCTTCTATGCTGAAGGCATGCGGCCATGGAGACATTCCTTTGCGCGCACGGCAACATCCCCCGACCTTGCGCGTCATGCTGCAGTAAGGATGCAGGGTGCCACAGGCCAAAACGCGTGGCGCATCGCTTTCCTGCCGCGCCAGCCGGCCGTCAGAGACGCACACTTGCACGTCATGGTACTGCCGGTTGGGGATCTTGGAGATACTCTGCCTTTCCTCCTCGACTCCAGAAGGGTCTTCGGGGGCAAGCTTTGTAATATACAGCTTCTACGCACACGGCCAGGCCAACACAACGACCCACATGGCTTTGCAAATGCCGCCGAACAGGCTCTCTTGCATGCTGGCCTGGCGGAAGTCTCCTTTGCATTCCACGTGTCAGCACACCGACCGGCTGCCGTTGTTGTCCCGGCATGGGAAGGCCTACCAGCCTGTGTCTTAGAAGATTCGGTGCACATCATCCTGCAATTCCCAGGACTGAGGCAAGCCATCCTGCGGGATGCCCAAAGTGCCCCGCGACCACATGCAGGCACAGGCACCTCCACAACTGCGACAACCACCACCACAACTACCACGACGACTTTTATGATGCCGGATGAGCCTTTCCGCTTCATTCCCCAGTCTCCGAGGAGAACAATAGCGAGACTCGGCATCCCTACCGGCACTGCGACTGGCACCTTTGTCGAGGTCACACTCGCAGAAAGTGTCGAGCTGCCGGCCCTCCTTCACAGGCTGACACAGAAGGCTGCTCAGCAACAGTGCCTACCCCCGGGGCACTCGATTGCCGTCTCCCCATGCCAGCCTGAAGCTAGGGCATCAAATAGGGAAATTTTGTTTCACTTGGTTCCACCGCAGGTTGATAAGGAGCACTGCTATGTATGGGTTGACTTGCGCCCGTCGGCGGAGCTCTCGTATCTCCGCAGCGCCACCCTTGCAGAGCCCAACAGTGTCTCTATCAGAAGGCTCAATGTGCGTTCCCTCTATCTCAATGCCCACCGCTGGGATGAGCCCCGGGCTTTGCGGCACGGCGACTTAGTCTCGATTGCAATTGCGCCCCAAGCACCCGACATTCGGCCTCCGGACCAGCAACATCAACTTGGACCCTGCAGACGCCGAAGAGCTTGACATCGACTCGGCCTTCATGTGGGACGAGGCGATCAGTGCAAGACTGCGGGCCTTTGGTTTTTCCCCTGCCTGCTGCCTTTTTACGGTTGTTGGGCCTGGTTTCGCCTTTACTGCATCGGTTGGACGCTTTCGTCCCACCTTACTGCAGGTGACCGACTGGCTTGAGACATGGCTAGGTGGTAATTTTCCCTCCTTAAGGGTTTATGATGCGGGAGTGCAACATAACGGCAGGTGGGTCTTTGTCGCCACCCCGGGCTTCATGGACCCCCAAAGAGAATACGTGCTAGTCACAGCGGACACCCCTGCACTTGCCGCTTACCTACTCCCTCACGGGACAACCTCGGCGACGGTATCCTGTCTCATCCCTTCTCCGCAACTGCAACGCAGCACACCTGTGCCCGGATCTGCGTACCATGCGGACTTCTGGCCTTCCTGTGCCTTCGCAGAATCTGAGTTCCTACTCCTGCGAGAGAACAGGGCCACCGCAATCGAGGATGCGGCCCCCAGCACGACAGGTAGATGGCGACGACATCGCTATGCCACCTCAAGTGCCTCGGCAAGCAGCATAGCACATCAGCCAGAGGATCCTGCTACTGCCGCGCCCACCACTACCACCACTACCGAGGCCTGCACAACACGCACTACCACTGTTGCCATTGCCCCCCCTGGCCGCATTGCCATTACTGTCATGGCAGAAGGCATCATGGTGAGCCGCTACCCGGCCGGCCGCGACATTGCACACATGGCGGAGGCCATCATGGAGTGCATGATCGAGCACATCCACCGTGAAAGAGCACCTCACAACGGTGTGCTCCGAATGGCACAAACCATGCCACACCACCCCTCTGCCCCATGGAATGAAGCCTTGATAGTTTGGAGCCCTCTTGACTTCAATGTGCATGTTGTGCTAGACCTCCGGGCGATCGGGGGCGGTGTAAGGCAAGTCATGACAGCACCCGAACAGGATCCGGAGCACCTCATCGCTGTCTACACCAGACAAGCAGGTGTCTTCCTATGGGTAAATGGCATTCCAAGACGCCTTTACACTGGGTGCCTACATGACGCCGATGTGATCACGGCGGCGTGGAATGACGGACACACCTCCCCCCGCCACGCTCCGTGCTCTTTCGTGCCTGGCCCCTGCTGGCTCTGCTGGCCGTTGACATCCACATCCCGGCAGCATATGACCCACCAAGGGAATACGTCTTCATGATGCCGAACATTCGGCGGCAGATATCTGACGCCCTCGAATCGCGTGCCATCCATCTTGGCTTTTGGCTTAATCCAAGGCGAATGGCCATCATTTACAACCGCGACAGAGGCGAGATAGCCCTGTACGTCCAAAGCCGGCTGCCAGCAACTTCAGCCCAAGTGCAAGAAGCCCTCACACTCATCGATACGTGGACTGACGCCGATGAGGTGGTTGACACCCGTGAGATGGCGTTCAACACCTCGCTTTTCGTCGCCAGAGACAACTTCGAGAGGAGGAGTCGCTTTCAGTTGATTCCCATCCCCAATTTCCCACAAGCACACATGCTCTGGGAGATCAACGACCACAACTATGCTGAGGCTGCTAGTCTTCCCGCGCCACCACACCTGCTAGTACAAGCCGACTCCGCCCCTACACACGGTCGAGCCCTCCTCTTCCGACGAAGATCCAGCAACGGTGCCAGCGCAAGCGCCAACGCAGGCACTAGTCTGGCGCAACTGTCGTGGAAGCGCAAATCGGCCGCTCTGATCCAGGCGCCATGCGAAGCTTTGAGCCGCAATGCCCCACCTGCAAGGGTCGCACTATGCCGCAGAGAGTTTGCGCAAATGGGGATCGGGCAACACGACACGGACGACCGCCAGCATGATGCGCTTGCGGTCGGCCCCTTTGCAGGCTGTCGTGCCCCCAGCGCTGTCACAACTCAGCCGGCCATGCGCATGCCACGGCTGTTACCCCCTGACTTTGCGCTCATCATTGACAGCACTTACACTGCTGTCGCGCGGACGATGGCTGCACCGGAGATGGCGGAAGACACCGCCCGGTACACCATCTTTGATCCAATACATCAGATCCGCATACGCCTCCACAGAGCCGACATGCGCCTTGAATGGCTGGTGGCGGACATTCTGCGCTCCACACCAGAGCAGATACGCAGCATACAACTCCTGGCGGACACAGTCTACGGGTTCCCGGAACCGCAACTTGTGCTTACTTTCGCGGATTCCCCCGCGGAAGCACTTGCTGTCCCAATAGACTGTCGAGCCTTCAGCCTTGGGGTGTGCACGGCTTACGCCACCCCAAGGCTAAGTTGGTCTGGCTTAGGCGACGCCCTTGCTGAAGTTGACAATGCGCATCTTGGTTGCCACGGAGCCGGAGCTGCTGTCCACAACGCCCTCCGCGCACAACGGCTCACGCTGCGCAGTGCTAGGGGGGACATGATGGATCCGATTCCGGACCTCCTGCCCTCTTTGCAATTCATCTTCGCAGTCTGGCGGCCGCCAACCCCCCCCATCCCGGATGATGATTCACTGCTTGCGGATACCGACATGGGAGATCCGCCGCCTGCGGAAATGGGTGATAGCGCTGGCCTCACCCATGCACCAGAGGCCCCTCTACAGGCGACCGTACCCCCACCAGGTAGCGACGCGAGCGCCGCCCCTTGCGGCCAACCACCTGCAAGCAAGTCCCAACCCCGCTGGGACGGAGACTCCTCCACAGTGGCAAGCAGCCTGCACTCCACACTACTACACCGCAGGTACCTGCCGCTACGAGCGAATGCCCGCCTACGGCACAGCTCGGAACTAGGTCCCTGCAAACCTTGCTGGCCGACTATGAACTCCTCACCAGCCCTGGGGCCATCCCCCTGCGCAATGACATTGCCAAAGTCCCTGGCATGCCTCGCGGCCTCAGGACGCTCGGAGCTCTCGCCCCTGGACACCCTGGCCTCTGCAGGGCCTTCCATATCTTCACTGATGGGTCCTTCGATCCCGGCCCCAAGCTACACAGGGGCGGCTGGGCCTTTAACGTTTTTGTGCAGCAAGATGACCCCAAACAGCCCCTTGCCTTTCTGGGCTATGCATGTGGCTCCATGCGCCCCTGGGTTTCCTCCACCTTGGCAATTGACTACAGCTCTTATGATGCAGAAGCTGTTTCAATCCTTGCGGCTGCTGTGTGGGCCCTCTCCCTGCCAGGTGACCGACAAGTACACTTTCATGTTGACTCACAATCTGTACTGGGTGCTGCAAATGGGTCATATCAGACAGCCAACCCTGCCGCGTGCAACACGGCTGCTTGCCTGGCTAGGCAGGCCGTGCAAATTCTTGAGGCACAGGAGCGTGACCTGCACTGGCATTGGGTACCAGGGCATAAAGGGATAGCTGGGAACGAAATATCAGACTCCCTCTCCAAGGCGGTCGCCCTAGGGGTCTGGCCAGACACCCCGTTGCCGCACGCCCTCTGGCAGGCTGTCACCCATCCCTTTTTTGGGTGGCTCTGGAGGGCATCCACTACAAAAACAGACTGTCCATCCCTTGCCTCCCTTGAAGGGGGAAGGTATGAGATGCCCGACCAGGTCCCCCCTGCACTACTTTCCGAAGGCCAAGGTCCAGAGGCCCCGAAGGTCACGACCATTGCACTGCAGACATGTACGCTCAATGTACAAAGCCTTCATGAACAGAAAGATGCACTCTGGCATCTGCTCGGAAAAGAGCGTTTTGGCATCGTGGGACTGCAGGAAACCAGAATGCAGCGCGATTATCAGTGCAAAGGCCGGGCCTTCTTTGAAGTACATGCCGCAGGGAAGAACGGCAACCACGGCACCTCCCTGCTTTTTGCGCAAGATGTCCCTTATGGATGGCAAGGAGATAGACCCCTCCATATCTTGCCGGAACACATCTCCTGCCTACACGCCGAACCAAGCATCCTCGTCTGTGCCGTGCACGCACCTGGCCTGCACCTTTGCTGCGTCTCGGCACATGCGCCTCACTCTGGCAACTCACCTTCAAGCATCCAGGCCTGGTGGCGGAGATTGCAAGGGGTTATCCCCAAAGATGCCAAGGGCAGACTCCTCCTGCTCGTCGATGCAAACGCCAGGCTGGGGTCAGTCACCTCGACCGGGATAGATGCCCACGCCGGCGAGGAAGAGTGCCCAGCGGGAGAATGCTTGAGGGAGCTCGCCGACAAGTTCCAACTTTGGATTCCAGCAACTTGCTTTGATCGCACGGGGCGCCGGGACCCGAGTGCGTCTGAACCCACGTGGGTATCCCCACACGGCACCTTGCACCGCGTCGACTACATCGGTGTTCCACTGGCCTGGAACACCGGCAATGTCACCCCGTGGGTCCACGGGGACCTTCTCCCTGCCAGGCAACATGAGGACCACTGGGCGGCATGTGTCAGTGTACAGTTCTTGACCCACTGCATCGCACCCAAAAAGGGGCCCGGAGCTCTTCCAAGAGACCCCAGCAGAGCGACCGAGCAGTGCAGGCAGGCTGTTCTTGCCGCATGGGACACTGCTCCTCCGGTCCCTTGGGAAGCCAATGTCCATGAACACATGGAATTGCTTCAGAGAACGGTTGTACAAGCAGCCCAGGCCACCCCCCCTCCACCGCTGCGCAAGAAACGACCTTTCGTTTCAGAAGAAGCAGCGGCGCTCCTCCATGACTGCAAGCGGCTGCGGCGCTCCCTACGCGGCTTCGATAGACTCGAGCGCCAGCTGCGCTTACGCACCATCCTTCATGCCTTGTCAAGAGGCCGGGCGAGGCCCCCTGTATCCAGGGAAGGTTGGACCTTGCGCGACTTGCAGGCTATCAAGGGTGTTTTTGTGCGCTGGCTGCATACCGACAGAACGGCTGTCAGAACCACCATCCAAGCGGACAAGGCCGCGTTCGCCGCTGCACGGCTGCGCTCTTTGCAAGAGGCCGGGCAAGCCGGCAACGCTAAGGCGTTCTACAAGGCCCTTGCCCCGCTTCGCCCACCCGGTAAAAAGATCCTCAAGCCCTTTGCCCCGCTTGTCATTACACGAGGAGAAGACAACCAATTGCCTGACCCGATTGCCCTCACCAAAGACAAGAGGGAGCACTTTGCAGCCCTGGAGGCTGGGGAGGAAACTACCCTGGCCGAACTGTTCAGTGGAGCACCTGAGCAGCCCGCGTCGGACTGCACTTTTGACCTGCGAGAGTTGCCGACCCTCACCCAAATTGAGCACCTTGTTCGCTCCATCCAGCTCGGCAAAGCACCAGGGCCAAGCTCCGTGCCTGGGTGGGTGTGGAAGTCCAATACGACCAAGGCGGCAAGGGCTTTGCTACCGCTTTTCCTCAAAGCGCATGTTCGCTTGACCGAACCCATCCAGTCCAAGGCGACCGACCTCATAAGCCTTTTTAAAGGTAAAGGTAGTGCCAGGGATTGGTGCAACCACCGCGCCATCTGCCTCCTGGAGGAGCCAGGTAAGCTCCTTAGGAAAGCCTCGCGGGCGGCCCTCCTCGATGCGCTACAACCTAAGGAGCTCCACCAAGGAGGAATGCCCGGTTCACTGCTGCCATCTGGACACCACCTTTTGAGAACCTTCTTCGCCACAGCCAGAGCCCAGCGATCGGCGCATGCCGCGCTCTTCTTTGATGTCACTTCCGCGTACTACCGCGTCGTGCGCGAGTGCTTCTTCAAGGCCCCTGACTGTGATGAAGCTTTCCTCACCGTCCTCCGCCGTCTGGAGGTACCGGCTGAATATTTCCATGAAGTTGTGTGCTGGGCACGGGGCGCGGCTCTTCTTGAACGCATGTCCCCACATGGGCAGCGTGTCATTAAGACTTTTATGTCGAACACGCACTTCAAGATGAAAGGAGACGGGGTGTACGTCGGCACACATGCGGGGGTGCGGCCCGGCGACACAATCGCCGACGTCCTTTTCGCTTTTGTCCAAGCTGACCTAGTCAAGGCAATTGAACAAGCTGCCGCACGGGAAGGCCTGCTTGAGTGCCCCGTCCGAGAGGCCGCCTCGCTTCCCCTATCCCTCCTTTGCCCAACATGGGCCGACGACTCAGCCATCCTTCTGGCTGATCGGTCGTCTGAACGGCTCCTGCAACGGGCCAGGTGCCTTTTCCAGATTGCGCACAGGGAAATGATGCGACGCGCCATGTCCCCGAACTATAAAGCCGGCAAAACAGAGGCGGTTGTCCACCTCAGCGGCAAGGGCAAAAGGGAGCTTGCCAGGGAGCTCTTCGTCCGGCAACAAAGCAGGCTCCATTTCACGGTGGGGCAACACACCTTTACTGTCGGGTGTGTGCCAGGTTACTCGCACCTAGGAGGGAGGGTTACGGTCAAGGGCAATGCTATTGCCGACTTGAGGCAAAAACTAGCATCGGCCTTCGCAGCCGCCAGGCCCCTGGCCAGGACCGTGCTGCGGAACAAGCACTTGCCCATCGCGCAACGGCGCCAGCTGCTGAACGGGCTCTCCCTGTCCCGGATAACTCATACGGCTGCAACTTGGCCCAGGCTGGGGGTTGAAGAGAGTGCCCTCTGGTCAGCGGGTTACTCGAAGCTTGTCCGACTCCTGACGAGTGATGATAGATGGACGGGAGCCCCATCGTTACCTGGCCCGCAGGAGTTATGCCGCTATACTGGCATGCCCCTTCCAGACTCGTTCCTCCGTTGCGAACCGCTGCACCACTTCGCCCGCTGCCTAACGCATCAGCAGGAGACCCTGCTTGCAATGCTGCAAGCCGAGAGACAGGTGAGTGCTGGCACCTCGTGGCTCGAACAGCTGAGAAAGGACCTCCAGTGGCTCTCTGCCGGAGCCGAGCTCCCAGCCATCGCCTCGCAGAACTTCCCAGAGGCCCTGCAGGCCTTCATTTTGGAATGCCCTACCAGGTTTCACAGACTGGTGCGCAAAGCTGCCAGCGCGGAACTACGGCAACCGCCAACGAAAGCATCGGCATCAAACCCCGATGTCGTGCCCCACACCTGCCCCCTTTGCGGTGATGCCTTTGCGTCCTTCCAAGCCCTCAGGGCGCACCGGTTCGCTGTGCATCATCTGCGGTCCGACGCGGCAGCCGTCGTTGACGGCACCAGCTGTCCCTGCTGCTTGACCGAATTCTGGTCAAGGGACAGAGTCCTGAGGCATGTCCAACACGATCGCCCCGCTTGTCTGGAGGCCTTATGGTCACACGGGATGTTCGTGAACCCTTTGACACAGGTGCACGGAGAGCCGGGCCAAACCGCGCACTACCCCGCTACACGTCTCGCGGGCCCCCTTTTGCCCCTCACCACGCAGTCGCCAGCCGATGCCGTTGACGCAGCTGTGCAACTGCTTGCAGAGGAGCCGGGCATGTCTCACGAGGAACTCAGGCAAGCCCTGGATGCCTTTTACTTTTCCCCTGCGGTCACTGACTGCGTCGCTTTGCTGGCCAATGAGCCTGCCATCGACTTGACGGGAACGTAGCACTGGGCCTCTGCCTAACGACAAACAATTAGCTGCATGTTTTTGCCTTTTCACGGCTCTCGCACAGCGCGACTGCCTTCGTTGTTCATAGTACCAGACGTCATCATTGACTTGTCCGCAGTCCCAGCAGCAGCAGCCCTAAACCCTAAACCCTTAAACCCTAAACCCTAAACCCTAAACCCTAAACCCTAAACCCTAAGCGCCCAAACTTGAAGCCCTAAACCCAGAAACTCACCCCGACCAAACATTGCGAAACGAGGGTCGGGCTCCAGGGACCCGGGACAAGTCAGAGAACACTGGGTTTAGGGTTTAGGGTTTAGGGTTATAGGGTTATAGGGTTATAGGGTTATAGGGTTATAGGGTTATAGGGTTATAGGGTTATAGGGTTTAGGGTTTAGGGTTTAGGGTTTAGGGTTTAGGGTTTAGGGTTTAGGGTTTAGGGTTCTTTAGAACTTTAGAACTGGGTTGCAAGAAAACAACACAACAAGACAAGGGCACGCAACCGCCAGAGGTGCTGCTGCAGGAGGAGGACGAAGAGTGACGTCGTGCTTTTGACGGGCCGTCAGGCCACCCCAAGTCTTAAACCTTAAGCCCTAAACCCTAAACCCTAAGCCCTAAACCCTAAACCCTAAACCCTAAGCCCTAAACCATAAACCCTAAACTCTAAACCCTCTGCGTTGTACAAAGTTTGTGCTGCAGGTCGAAAGGTTGGGTGTAAGTAGAGTTGCATGTAAGGAACTGTAGAGAACTATCCATGAACCTCCAAGTAAAAATCGAATATGATATGATGGATAAAAAAGGTCAAATTCAACAACTCATACTGGTAAATACTATTTTGGAAATGAAATCATCAAGAAGAGGCTTTTTTACCGCCCCCAAGACAGGTTACGACGACTTAGAAGTATAGCTGCCCTACTTCCAACCTCCAGTTTACACCGCCCATGAGCCTTCCAGCCGGGGGTCGCATCTCAGTATCCTTTACGAGCATCTCCCCCGTTAGCCAGAATAGGGTTCGGGGCTCAGGGTTTACACCCTAAACCCTACACCCTAAACCCTAAGCCCTAAGCCCTAAGCCCTAAGCCCTGAACCCTGAACCCTGAACCCTAAACCTCAAACCCTGAACCCTAAACCCTAAACCCTAAACCCTACTCCTCGGTTTTAACAACGTCGGTCCCCCTGAAAAGGCTTGCAGCATAGCGCCCTTTCGGGGCGTAGGATGATAACGTCATGCGCAGGCCGTTGCGGCAAATGTCCGCACCGGCCAGGCCATCTTTTCCGAGGTCCCATCGTAGGTGGAGGCCTACAATCCTGACCCTAAACCCTAAACCCTAAACCCTAAACCCTAAACCCTAAACCCTAAACCCTAAACCCTAAACCCTAAACCCTAAAACGCCTATAAACCCCTAAAACCCTGTATGCCCTGGACTCCTGAACGCTATAAACCCTATACTCCCTATAGAACTCTATATATAGGCCCAAAAAACCCCGTATAAACCTTACATCAGCCCTATAAACCCTATGCAAGCCCTAGAAACCCTATTAAACCCCACATAAGCCCTCTATCTAAACCCTATACAAACCCTGAACCCTGGAAACCCGTAAGGTCCATCAACCCGAAACCCTAAACCCAACTCCTCCCGCCTTGAAGCTTCGCATCTTCAAGATCGTCACATCCCATACCAAACCTGAAGCCCTCAGCTTAGGGTTTAAAAGGGTGTAGGGTTTAGGGTTTAGGGTTTAGGGTTAGGGCCCTCAGACCCTACCCGGTGGTTCATGGATCGTTTTGCTAGACTTGTATGAGAAGCAGAGTTCGAGCGACTAAGAGCCCTACTATTGAGCCTTGGCCCTGAAACCTAACCCCAAAACCCTAAACCCTAAACCCTAACTCCTAAACTCCTAAACTACTGAACTCCTAAACCCTAAACCCCTAAACCCTAAACCCTCAACCCTAAACCCTAAACCCTAAACCCTAAACCCTAAACCCTGAACCCTGAACCCTGAACCCTGAACCCTGAACCCTGAACCCTAAACCTTACTTAAAGGTACCCACGAACCTCCAACCTGGGGGCCTCAGCTCTTGCATGATAACGCCTGCTCCGTGGCGGAGTGGTGGACCCAGAGCCATTGGGGTTAAGGCTTAGGGGGTTTAGGGTTTAGGGTTTAGGGTTTAGGGCCTTTAGGGTTGAGGGTTTAGGGTTTAGGGTTTAGGGTTTGCCAGCACGCCGCCTGCATCCGTCAGCCAAAGCTGCTGCATGCGGGGGGAGCCGAGGATTGACAAGCGCCAAGCCGGAAAGGGTGCGGGTTTGGGGTCCAGTGCTTTGAAACCATGAGTTTAGGGTTTAGGGTTTAGGGTTTGGGGTTTTGGGTACGTGCTGTACACTAAACCGTGAACCCTGAGCCCTAAACCCCCAAACCTAAACCCGCGAAACCCTCCACCCTCTAAACCTGAAAACCCTGAGCCCCTAAACCCTAAACCCTAAACCCTAAACCCTAAACCCTAAACCCTAAACCCTAAACCCTAAACCCTAAACCCTAAACCCTAAACCCTAAACCCTAAACCCTAAACCCTAATACCCTAAACCCTAAACCCTAAACCCTAAACCCTAAACCCTAAACCCTAAACCCTAAACCCTAAACCCTAAACCCTAAACCCTAAACCCTAAACCCAAATCTTCAACCCTAAACGGATCCTACATCTTAAGCCCTAAGCCCAGAAGGAATTGAGTAATTTCAAGGGGGGATCTACTTCGATCCATACTCCCAGAATTCCAGAAATCTAAGAAGATCTGAGCGGGATGGGGCTTAGGGTTTAGGGTTTAGGGTTTGGGTTTAGTAGGGTTTAGGGTTTTAGGTTTTAGGGTTTAGGCTTTAGGTTTAGGGTTGGCTCACTCACACCAGAAGAGCCCGCCAAGTGCAAATACAAAACGAAGATGAGCCCTGCCCACCCCCCCTCCCCCCCAAACCCTACAAAGCAATCCAGCCATAAGCCCCTCCCAACCCAAGACCTCGTGTTTTCGGTTTGGGGTTTGGGGTTTGGGGTTTAGGGTTTAGGGTTTCTCCTCGATAGGACCTTGGGATATCTGGTGCCTGTATTGGGCTGAAGAGAATCTTGCTCAGTTGCAAATGCCTGTTGGGGTTTAGGGTTTAGGGCTTAGGGGTTTAGGGTTTAGGGTTTAGCTTGACTCCATTAGTCCTGACAACAGGAACAGGCTCAGAGTTTAGGATGCGCCCGCTTGATACCTAGAATGTCCAGCAGTCGAGATCTTGTTGCCGGTCAGGTCGGAAAGCCTTAAACAAGCAAGAAGAGTACCCCTCTTATGTCTTAACCAAACGGTTTAGGGGTTTAGGGTTTAGGGTTTAAGGGGTCGTAGAAGTAGCTACAAGTACACATAGCTGCTCTACTTAGAGCTCCAGAGCTGTGATACTTAGAACTCTACCGGCAAGTACCCTAAACCCTAGACCTAATCCCTGAACCCTGAACCCTGAACCCTGAACCCTGAACCCTAAACCCTAAACCCTAAACCCTAAACCCTAAACCCTAAACCCTACTTAGAACCTCGCATTAGCGAGCCTCCGAACTGCAACTGCAAGGCGCATCAGCTCTGCCCTTCGTTAAGGCTGGGAGGGGGGTGGAGGCTCTAGATAGATCAGCTTCTACGGTCCAGGGTTTAGGGCTTGGGGCCGAGGGTTTAGGGCTTAGGGTTTGGGGTTGGAAGGGGGGCAGGGGGGGGGGGCATTTAGTATAACTGTCTAAAGGGCCAGAAGGGAATGCTATCAGTATTTATTCCGACCCCTACAGTAGTCATCTGGGGGTCTACGAAATAAGGGACTTCGAATATTTTCCCCTAAATGGTAGGTTTGCCTTATAAATAGCACCCCAAGAAGGTACCCCTAAAACCCTAAACCCTAAACCCTAAACCCTAAACCCTAAACCCTAAACCCTAAACCCTAAACCCTAAACCCTAAGCCCTAAGCCCTAAGCCCTAAGCCCTAAGCCCTAAGCCCTAAACCCATCTAAAGCTGTGCAGCCTTCCATGATCCACTCGACCTTTCTCAGCGCCCACCCCTCAAATCCCGTGAGCAGACGGAGCTGGTGGGATCCTCATGCAACCCACCTCCTTGCGTTTAGGGTTTAGGGTTTAGGGTTTAGGGTTTAAGGTTTAGGGTTCAGGGTTCAGGGTGTAGGGTTTAGGGTTTAGGGTTTAGGGTTTTGTGTACATACGGCCCACGTAACTCTGAAGTAAGCACATGTAGCTTGGGTCAACTTGAGGTCGGGGTCCTATGCTCCCCCGCTAAACTCTAAACCCGAATCCCTAGAGCTTGCCTGAAGAAATCAGAGGCCAACGAATCCTACGGCTCCGGCCATCTCATCCCTAAACAGTCTGGATTTCCGCACCCCAAGATTTAGACCCCCCCCCCCCCCCCCCCCCCCCCCCCCCCCCCCCCCCCCCGAGCAATCGAACCCCAGCAGCAAGCCGCCAAGCCTTCCCGTCCGCCAAGAACGTAAACCCTAGGCCCCAAACAAGCCCTCTTAGCCCGAAACCTTAAGCAGGCAACCCTAAACCCTCAACCCTAAACCAAGAGCCCAAACCCCAAAACCCAAAACCCGAATCTCCACCCACCAAACGAAGACCGAGGCACCACGCGAAGGGAGACTGGAGGAGCCCGTGCAGAAGATCTGGGGGGTTTGGGGTTCAGGGTTTAGGGTTTTAGGGTTTAGGGTTTAGGGTTTAGGGTTTAGGGTTTAGGGTTTAGGGTTTAGGGTTTAGGGTTTAGGGTTTAGGGTTGACATGGATCAGGGCCGAGGGCTTAGGCCTTCAACCCCAAACCCCAAACACTTATAACTCATAACCCTAAAGCCCTACACCTTAACAACCCGAACCATAAGCCTTCAAACCCTTATAGCTTCTAACCCCAAAACCCTCGATCTTAGCAACCCCCAAACCTAAGCCTTACCCAAAGGCTCCTATAGTGTTTTTGCTGGGTTTTATACTGGCATC